TAATTTCTTCCGAGAGTGATATGAATCTTGAACTCACTGGTTAGATAAATTTTGAACTCTAATGCACACACCAACTCTAAGTAGCAGGTTCTACGAAAGTCAAACTCTTTGACTTCTTATGAATACCCTTAGTATTCAAGTCTGTTATGTCTATCTTAATATAGACCTCCACCCTGTCAAAGTCTATCTCACTATAGACTTTTAACCCTGACAAGTCTTATTGCATTATAGATTTTTATGTCTTTTCAAGTCCATCTCAATATAGACTTTTAACTCTAACAAGTCTATCTCAGTATAGACCACCTTTAAAGGCTTATAGAGTAGTTAAAGACATAAATCAGTTATAAGTCTTTTCTTTCTATCATGGGCACTGTTCTTTGCAATGCAAATGACAGTTTGTGAATCACAATGTATATGTAGTGAAGGTGTTAACTAGACACCCCCACAACTCCACGTTTATCAACATATTTCTTAGCCATCAGCTTATTGGAATATCCCCATTATCTTTCATAAGAGGCAGTTAACCATTTTTCACTCAAGTCAAGGGTCTCGTTAGGTCTATCTCTAAATAGACCACCCCAATTGAGTATAAATCATTAAGAGACTTTTGTACTCAAGCATTATGCGGTGAATTCGTTAAGTCCATCTCAATAGGACCACCATCTCATAGGGTTATAAATTCATTAAGCGTTTTAGCTCAACCTCACAAGTACACACATTATAGGAATGATCGCGATCGACCGATTAGTGTACTACTTTGTGATTCTTTTCATAGCTTCGTTTGACCACAAAAGTGAGATCCACCACGAATTCATCACCTCATGGGCTTTAAGTCATTCCATCAATAATTCAATGACTAACCCCCACACATTCAAACAAGTTTGAAGGAAGTAGATGTTTGAGGGGAAGTGAGCGCTGACCTTAATGTCAATGGTTTAGACCTTAAACTGACACGTAGTGCCTTGAGTAACTTTCTCCTTAGTAGTGAATTGAATCTTGAACTAGCCAAGGAGAGGTAGTTTTGAACTCATGTGCACACATCAGCACCCATTATGCAGGTTCTTCTTGTGACACACCCGTCTCATTGTGTGTTATTTTTTTATTTTTTATTTTTTATTTTTTTTTTTTTTTTACAGTTTTACGCTCGAATCATAGGGAGTTTGTGCAGGAGTCACTTCGAAGCTATTAAACTTCCTTAATAGCTTCTCTGTATAGTGACCTTGTAGATGATAGCTTGTAGCCATTCTTGAATTTTATGACTTTTACTCCAAGTATCACATCGCCTCCCCTAGATCCTTCATGTCAAACTTATCACATAGTGACTGTTTAGTCTCTTTTATAGCATCTATATGTGGCTAAATATTAGCATGTCATCCACATAGATGCATATAAGCACAACACTTGAGTCTACCTTTTTTGAGTATAGACACGCATATGATCTGTTTAGCGTGTAGCCCAGATCCATAAGTGTCTTATGAAACTTCTCATACCACTGTTTGCGGGCTTCAGATTTGCTTTGTAAAACATTACAGCAGCTTCGTACTTTAGCTAACACATACTCAATAGTTGAATATATTTCAACAAACTTGGTTATCTCAACTCATCATAATTACCCTTTAAACAGGAATTATAGGTCTTTCAAAATGACTCAACCAAGAATTTAAATAATATGTATAAATGCTCATTGTTAGTAAGCCACATAGATTATGTTGTCTGCATGCTGCTTCAAGTTGGACAACATAATCACAAATTTCACATAATATTCTTAATCTCATATGCAATGAATATGTTCAAATTGACATTTATTAGGGATATATTTCAACAAGGTGAATTCAACGAGTATAACTTTAACACCCAAAGTTATTCCACCTATACAACGTTTCTTTCACTTGAGCAAAAAAAGAAAAACAAAACTCATATTAAGCATTCATATGATGCAGATCAACATTACTATTGCAGTACTTCAACAATTTCTATTGCAAGGCTTTGATTGTTTAACAACATATAAAAGTCAACCTCATTTCATGTGAAGATCAAGTGACACTCTAACAGCCTGCATGATTAACACCTACTTCTTAAAAACTGGCAAGTCGAGTGGTGAAACCGAAGTTTTCTTAAGAACCATCTTCCTAGACAGAGTATTTAAGAATGATGACTGTTCCATGCTACACCATAAATGTTAGTAAAGCCTTTGAAATCAAACTCAGTACACAATTCAAATATTGAAGATTATGTGATTGTAAAATATATATGTATCTCATCAAATAGTGTAATAGTTTGTAACATATCCACAATAATAACACATAATGTTATAAATTGACATGTGCATAAGTACACAATTTATAAGCTTTAATTTATATCAGATTGATGATTTAATCACTTAGTAGTAGTGTAAAATCAACACTTCTAATACAACAAAATCATAAAGCTCATACATGTGAATAATAACAATTCACTTAGTTTTTTTGTGTACACCGCTGTTAATTTTCTCTATAATATTCAAAGCACTCACCATACAAAATATGAAATGGTGATTTCTAAAATGCTTGTCACAATATATATTTCACGTTTCACATGCTCTAAAAAAATAATAATCAATTGGATGCAAAGATATAGGCAAACCATATTCTAAATTATGTCATTATGATAGTTTTCAGAGAATATGGTCAATGCCCAATAATATATGACAAACTAATGCTCAAAATAATCATTTGCATATGATAGTAGCCTATAATCATATAAATTACATGTGCCATATTAGAATATGAGGAGACAAACCTCATCGGAGTATGGTCAAAGCTTCGATATGAACCCAATAATTATTCCAGTTGTACTCCTTGGTTAAAGGTTACACATAAGTCGAAGCAGTGTGCTTCACTAGTATTGTTCTGTATGAAGCTGCTGCCTTCCACTGCTAATCTCTGTTGTTGCTACACCATCATGTCGCCAAAAATTATTTATAATATGCGCCATGATTCGAGTAGTGATTGTTGCTATAAGTAACGCTTTTAACTGTTGGAGAATATTCGCAACGTCAACGTGCGGGCGGGAAACCTTTTAAGAAGCACGGACACAACGGGTGTATGGTAGAAGGGAAATCTGTGACGTGTTATAATAACACTACCTTAAAAGCGTTATTTTCCCGGTGCCGGTGCAGTCAGAACTCTGGCACGCTTTCGACAGGCTACACAGACCAACTACGCTTAGTTAACACCAACTATAGCGTAGGTGAACCTGACTTTGCTCAGACTATAACTCGAAGGGAGAAAAGAAGTGATTGGAGGTGTGTTTTAATGAACAAGGGAAGGGCCCCTTATATACTAACATAGGCTTCACTTCTCAGCCATCCAAATCCAAAAACAGTGCTGGACCACTCTTTCTTAACGAATGAGATTCACTCATTTGAGTGAAAACTAGCAACCACACAATATTAAAAATAATTGGACAAAGTATGTTGCGTAGCTTTGGACCAACTCATGAATTTTCCAACAGCAACGTCTCTAACTTCATCAATCTCTTGTTGATTGTAGGACAATATTCCTTGTCTCTCCAAACTCTACAAAGTTGAAAAGAGATAAATAATCAATAAGCTAGTATTTTCAAAAAATTGAAGAAAAAATATATTTTATTAAGTTACTTGCCTTATTCATTCCTTTGTATGCATGACTGGAAACAATTTCTAACATGAATTTCATCGCATAATAGCCGCATTCGGTAGTTCAATTCCTCTTTGTATGGCACACTACATTTGAATTACAGTACAATAAGATTTTTTTTTTTTAAAAAAGAATAAGATATATGTAGTTTTACAAAGTGTTTGAAGTACTTACCAAATATGTAGTCCATTTTGGTGGACGACTTTGTTTCCTTCCACTTAATATGCTTGTTGCATTGACACACCTATTAATATAAGACATAAAATATATGTAAGTACTTGACACCACTATATCAATAATTACTATTAATTAAATGATTCATAAAAGTAGACTAGAAGAGCATTTAATTAACAAATTAAATGATTCTTAAAAGTAGACTAAAAATATTTAATTTATCTTGAGAAGGAATGAAAGAGATAAAATGAACAAGTGAAGATAAGGAAAATGGTTGTTAATGAGATTTGAACCTATGAGAGTCTATGACCATATCTTTGAACTATTTGGAGATAGCAATTAAGCCATCAAACTCGACTAAGCTCCAAACAAATCCATGAACTTGGAAAAAAAGTGCAATTAGCATTTTTAACAGGTTACTAACAAAAACAGTTTTTGTTGATTAGGATGTCATGTGTATTTATTATTATTATTATTATTATTATTATTATTATTATTATTATCCACGAAGCATTTAATCCTAAAAAAAAAATTAAAAAAACCTAAAATATTTGACCCTCTTAACCAATAGTAAAAAAAAAAAAACAAATTATTATCCTACAAAGCATTATCTTGACATGGTGCGATTCCGGCGCTGTGCATACGCTCACAAAACTGTGATGTTGTAAATCTCTAATTTTGTTTTTCTAATGCTTTTTTGTTCAATAATAAATAGAACTTCGTTTTTTTGACTCTTGGGTCAATAGGGTTTTTTTGACTCTTGGTCGAGAGGGACAAATATCATAGGTTTTTTTTTTTTTTTTTTTTTTTTTTTTTTTGGGTAAGATTAGATGATTTGTAGGATAATAATAATAATAATAATAATAATAATAATAATAATAATAATAATAATAATAATAATAATAATAATAATAATGTAAAATAAAAATGCACATGACATCTTAATCAACAAAAATTTGTTGAGTACTTTAAACAAAATTTTATATAACATTTAATAATATATATATATATATATATATATATATATATATATATATATATATATATATATAAGGGTTGGGGTGGGGGAGTAGAGACAGCTGCCTCCATTGCCTCATAGTAGTTCTGTCCATGTCAACAAAATTATCTGCTTATATGAAGTCAGGTTTCAGTATACAATTATTCAGTATCGATTATTTATGTCTAATGTATATACCATATGCATGTTAAGACCATGCATCATATATATGTTCCTAGTTGACTTGTTTTACGACTCCTGTTCTTTTTCAATCCTCCTCCATGGCCACTGGTTTCTCGTCTTTAGAAGGACCATAAGACCTGCTACAAATGAGGAACAGGAGAAAGTTAACCATGCTTAACCCAGCAAGAACCCAGTAGAAGTAATCATAGTGACCCTCGTTTATATCGCTTGTTATCCAACTCCCATTTCCTCTACTTCTGCTCAATTCGCTGATGCTGCTCATCAGCAAACTCGCTAGCAAGCTCGCGAGGGAATAGCCAAGCGCGTAAAGACTGGAAGCTATAGTCGACATGCTTCGGGGAAATTCAGAAATGAAGAACTGGTTTTGCGCCACAGCATTGGATCCCACTGCGATTCCCTTGAGCGCATACTGCGGTACTATCCATAGTATTGACATTTTACTATCTCCGAGGTTGTCTGATGAGTGTTCCTGTTTGATTGCAAGGCTTCGTCGGATGCTCTCGACTTTGCCCACCATGACTGCATACCAGAAGGACATAAAGATCCCAAATCCCATTCTTGATTTGGTGCCAAAATGGACTGTGTTTCCTCTAATTCTTGATGCTACAGGCAGGAGTAGTCTGTCGTATAATACTATCCAGATAAAGGAGAACCCAACTCCAAATAAGCCTACTGAGCCTGCTGGGATTTCAAAGTTGGAACTGAAGATATGGCGATCCAGTGTGGTTGCTTGGAGGACTGCAAAAGAAGATTGACAGAAATCCACAGACATTATCACACCTGTGAACCATATTGGGATAACCCTCAGTATTGCCTTTAGCTCCTCTACTTGATCCACAGTGCAAAGCCTCCAGGGATCTATTGCTGTTCCATCTGAGTTCAAGTCTTGTTGGGGATCTTGTATGATGCAAGCCTTATTCAGAAACCTAAATAAAATAAAAATTTGTATATAATGCTGTTTGTTTTGTTAGGATCTAGACGCAACTTTCTTTTCGTATACTGCCATACATTTTCGATAAGGTGTTCGATTTGGCCCTTATCGACCTCCACCATCAATTCCCTCCCAGCATGAGACAGAACTTGACTCTAATATCATTTGTTAGCTAGTAGCACTAGCACAACTTTATTTCTTTATATTGCCACACATTTTTGAGAGCCAAGGTACTCAACTTGGTCTTTTACTAGCCTCAACCCAACAGTTTCTCTAGTCACATGATGCTGGACTTGGCCCTTTACTAGCTTCTGCCCAACAATCCCTCAATAGCGGCCAATTATTGTGTGGACCATGGTCCACACAGTGCTGTGTACCGTGACCATATATAACAAAAAATACATTTTTAAAATATTAAAAGTACATTATTTGTGTACTGAATGTACACTATACAATATAATGTATATTCAGTACACAAATAATGTACATTTTTAATATACTAAAAGTACATTATTTTTGTACTGAATCTACATTATTTTACGGTATACAAAATATAGTCCATACAGCTTGTGTGGACCATAAATAATGATTGTTCTATAGTCACATGGTGCTGGGCTTGACCCTTATTGACCTCCGCCCAACATGTATGAATTGAGATACAAGAAAGAAATTTAATCAGTAAATTCAATATAATGATTTACCGTACCTGAGTCTTTCACTTGGGTGATCCATGGTAGTGGAACTGTTGTGATGGTAACCTATTTGAGTATTTCCTGAAGAAAATTTGAGGTGTCTGTTTGTGCAAGAGGCTACAATCACTTTAAGCAACCCAGGGATTAAGCTTCTTTTGGCATTTTGTTTCACATAGAAGGGAGAACCCAGAAAGAAAGAGAGAGCTGCAAAGAGCATGAACACAACAAGAATGCCATAGCCTATTTTCCACCCAGCATTCTCCTGGATATAAACCAGACAGGTCAGAGCAACTACTTCACACAAAGCAAACATGGCATAGTACCAGCTGAAATAGCTCTCCATTGCACCACCATTCTTCTGGATTTGCTTCAACTGATCCGCTCCGAACGACAACAAACAGGAAAATACTCCACCAGATCCAAATGACAACAGAACCAAAGAGGTACACAAAAGAAGGAGTTGGAAAGTTGTGGCAGAGCTGCAGGAGTCGCTGCATGGGCCAGGTTTTGCATGCGGGATCACAGTTGGTAACCAAAGAAGAACCATTCCCTTCAATACATCCCAAACAATTATATATGTAATAATCTCAAACATTCATATTTACTGTTTTAGTGTTTCACTTTTGGGGTCAACCAGTCTAGGTTGTCAAGTGGCTAGTTTAAATTAAGAGGGTTGGAATTCGAACTTGTGATCGTAGCAAGCAAAAGACCAAGGAGATAAACCAGTTTAAGTTGTTCATAACTGGCCAGTTTAAACTAAGAGGGTTGGGATTCGAACTCGGAATTTTGTAATTACAAGTTTGTATCCTTAGCCATCTTGATTGAGATGTGAATTGAATGGGATAAATCTCGTCTTGTGACCTTAACGGTCAAAAGAAAATAAGGAGGTAATCTGGCCTTCTGATGGTAGCGGTCAAAAGAAAATAAGGAGGTAAACTAGCCGAATTCGAACTCGTAATCCTAGCAAGCAAAAGACGCAAGGAGGTAAACCAGTTTAGGTTGTCTATAACGGGCCAGTTTAAACCAAGAGGATTGAAATTCGAATTCGTGATTTGGCTGAGGTGTGCACGGGGTAAATCTCGTCTTGTGACCATTGCGGTCAAAAGAAAATAATGAGATAAACTAGCCTAGTTTGCCATAACTAATCAGTTTAAACCAAGAGGGCTGGGATTCAAACTCATGATCTTTTGATTACAAATTTGTATCCTTAGCCATCTTGACTGGGGTGACAACTGACCAGCTCAAACTTGTTACCTTGTGATTAAAGTTTGTGTCCTTAACCTTGGCTAAGTTACCATATAGTGTTTCACTACTTTAGAAGAAATAATAGGTGTGAAAACCTTACCATAAGGCCAATGATAGATGCGATTCCTATCACTTGAAATCGGCCCATCAAAGAATCCGCCAAGATGGCTCCGGTTACAGGTACAATGAATGTAATTGCAGACCAAAAATAGATCAAATTAGAGCCAGAAACCATGTCCATGTGATATTCTCCCATCAAATATTTTATCATGTCTGCAGCTAATGAGCAAGTCGTCATACTCACAAATGCCATGGTTCCTATCCAAAACCCAAACAAACACCATAGTTAATTAGTCTCTATCCTATCAAATCTTGATAGATAAAAAATAATACACTTTTATAGTATAAATTGATCCGGTCGACTATGTTGGTACTGCATGTATGCATGTATTGCCCGGAGCCAACATCTTAGAGGTTTTTCAGAATTATTATCTTTATGAGGAGTTTTAATTAATTTCTCCAAGGTATGCTTGCATGATCACTCTTGGAATTTTTTTGCAACCAAAACACCACCGTAACTCTGAATGCTTTTTATCCCTATCTAAACTCTGATCTTTTTTTTCTTTTTTTTTTTTTTTTTTTTTTCTCAATATTTAATCTCTACAAATCTTATATCTAAATTCAACATATTACTACCAAGGACCTTGTAGAGTTGTAGTCCAATGACACCAAGTTGCTCTCGGCCTTATAAGGGAGGTTGTGGAATCGAGTCTCAACGAAGTCGATATTGACTTTATACTGCATTGTAGTAGAGTTAGTAGTATTCAAAAAAATTTAACATATTACTTTTTTCTTCATGTCTAAACTCTACAAACTTTTTCTCTCCCCTAAACATTACAAACTCTTTTTCCTCTAAATTCTATAGATTATTTTTTATTCATTATTGTTTATATCTTCCCAACAAAGTACACTAATATATAGGTAAAAGCATAGTTGAATATATTGTTTATATCTTCCCATCCTTAGTATTACTCCGTACTATTTTTCTTGTAATATTATATCATTTAGTGAAAAGTGATATTGCGTTTAAAATTATGGTACACTATATATATTTGTGGCAATCAAATTTGAACTAGTTAATTACAATACATTAATTTATATAATATCTATCAAAATATATGTTAAATCATAATTTTTTTTAAAGAAATTTAAAATATAAATAATACTCCGTAAGTATTAACAGAAATCAATGAAAGCAAGCCTACCATAGATAATTTTTCTAAAAAAATAAGTGTTTTAATTCGTACCCTAAAATTGATATTATTTTTAAACTTATAGAATACTCTATTTTTGTGGCAACCAAATTAAAAATGGTTTTTTTTTTTTTTTTTTGTTTTCCAACTTGAATACATAAATTTATTTAAAATCTTTTAAAATATATGATATATTATAACAAATTTTCAAATAAAATTAAAACAATTAATGAGCATTAATATAAATCAATGATAGTTGTATGGTGTATTCAATTTAGAATTATAATGATTTTTGTAGATTTTTTAAATAAAAAAGTTTGTAAAAGTCAATAAATGATTATAAGCATTTGTGGTATAAAACTTTTATAGATTCATACAAAATTCTATAAAGAGTCTATGAAAAATCTTTAAAATCTATAAAATTCATCATTTTAAAATCTTTAAAAATTCACAAAAGTCATGATTGTATACACCCTAGTCAAGTTTATACAAAATAGAATGATTATGGATGATGTAATATAAGCCGAGTTTATATTGGCACAAGTGTCAAATAGGGTCATCTACTACTGCGAAGTGTTCAATTTTCACCACGAACTAAATTAAGTGTCAAATAGGTCCATTTACGAGTTAAATTTGTTCAATTGACTTTTTTTACAGATTAATAACAGGTTACCTATTTAATTATTAAAATAAATAAAACAAAATAAAATAAAATAAAAGAATACAGCCACCGGCTGTCCTCGCCGGACAGCCGGTGGCTGTAGTCTTTTTTTTAAAATAATTTTTAAATTATTTTGAATTTTTTTTAATAATTGAATTGGTAACCTGCAAAAAAAAAAAAAAAAATCAATTACCTACAAAAAAATAAAAATTAATTGAACAAATTTAGTAGGTAAGTGTGGTTAATTAGCTTTTAATTTAGTTCATGGTGGGAATTGAGCACTTGACAATAGTACATGAGCCTATTTGACACTTCTCCCTTTTATATTTGGTTGAATTTTGGGTAAATTTAATGATAACCAAAATTTTGATCAAATTAGCTAATAATTGAAAATTTTAGAATTTGAAAGCAGATCATTGAACTAAAACTAATTATTTAATATGGTTAATTGGTTAACTTAATTAATGGATGGATGCAAATCAATTCCTGGTAACATCAGTTAACCAAATCCAAATTAAATGAAAGTAAGAAGGTAGCAACTCTAACTTAAATGGGTTAAGGATGGATCGGTAGTGCTTTGATAATAATAAGTTAAACTATATACGAACATCTGGTCGGCTCGCGTAGTAAAAAATGGCGTCATTTCTTTTAGTAAAGAAACGGCGTCTCGTTAGAGTTAACGGAGCGTGCATGTTTGGTGTATTAATTATCAACTGAAACTGCAGTGTATCTAAACTGACATTGCCTCACATATTATTTTTATATTATCAAGTGAAACTGCAATTGAAATGAAATAAAATTGTAGTTGTGTTAAAATGAAACTGCAGTGTGTACAAAATGAAACTGAATAACAATTTCACATATTTGAGTATATATATTACCCAGCGAAACTGTAGTTATATCAAAATGATACTGTAATTGTGTTGAAATCAAATTGCAGTGTATATAAAATGAAACCGAATAACATTTTACATATTTGAGTGTATATTGTGCAATGAAGCTGTAGTTATATCGAAATGATCATGTAATTGTGTTTTAATGAAACTATAGTGTATATAAAATAAAATTAAATAACATTTTCACATATTTGTGTGATAAATATCGAATGAAACTGTAGTTATATCAAAATGAAACTGTAGTTATGTTGAACTGAAACTGCAGTGTATACAAAATGAACCTGATTTTTTTGCGGAACCGCGCGAAACAGATACCATTTTTTTTTATTAAACAAAACGACGTCGTTTGGCCATTTGGGAGCTCAGTGCATAATCAATTATGCACCGCAGTACACGATATAATTTGCCCTAGGTGATTAACACGCTTTTAAAATTCCTCACTTTAAGTGAGTGATATTTTCAGTATCAACGCTTTAACTCACTACTTGATTGCACAAAAAAAAAAAAAAAAAAAAAAAAAAAAAAGGGAAAAATGAAAATTCATTAGATACAACTTACGGTGTATTCTGTTTTCTGTTTTTTAATTTTTTAGTTTTCATTCTCTGTTTTTCATTCTCTGTTTTCTGTTTAGAAAACTTGTTTACTAACAAAAAATTGTTCTCTGTTTTTTATTTTCTAATTTTTTAGTTTTCACCTAAAATTTAGTTTAGATAATATTAATATTTTTTGAGCTAATATTTAAAATATTTTTTGGATATATTCATTTGAATGATCCATGAATATGAATATATAACTTTTACTTTGAATTCTAATATATGTGATATTTCAATATTCGTTATCTGGACCGAACTTGTATTATAATGTAACATAATTAAAAATATTCGAACTAATAATCTATTGAGTTTAATCAAAATCTAAAACATTATATAGAGTTTAATTCTTAATTTTGATGATGTAAATAATGTCTAACTTTAAAGTGTAAGCAAATAAATTATGTTTAAATAACTAAACTAAGTAGAAAAGATAGAAGATAGTGATAAGTAAAATAAGATGGTAATGAATGTAATCCTAGTAATGTGGTTATAGTGACATATAACTAAATAGATTATAGATGATTATGTTTTCCATTTCGAACACAGTTTTTAAGTGTGTTCGAGTTTTCTAGAAATTTTCAGAAATTATTTTTAGTTTTCAAAATAGAAAACTGTGTTAGTAAACATGTTTTCTGTTTTCTATTTTTCAGTTTTTGGAAATTTCCAAAAATTTCCAGTTAGT